CCCCCCCCCCCCCCCACCCCTCCACACCATAGGAACCGAACTCACTTCCGCTACATGCACGCTGCGACAAAGCACCCAACTGCCACACCACTCATTTCTGTCCAAACCAATGTAGATGTTGCTTCGATAAATAATTTATTAAAACTAGGAACAACATGGCACAAATTAAACTCACACGGAATTCAAACAAATAAATGGGTCGCTTTTAGCGACAAGCGGGCAAACCCAGATTTCGGGGGTTTCCAGAAATCTTGACCTTCACCTATAGTGGACATTGCCCTACCTATAGAAGTTTGGTTTCATTGGTGTGTAGATTTGTTTGGTTTTAGAGAAAACTCTCCTTGTCTTTAAAGAAACAGAACAAAGGGCAAAAATTTTACCTTCGATTTTCTCAAAACAGCATTTTTCGGGATAACCCCATTGCGCTTAAGAGCGACCAAATGGTACAACTAACCATACACGTAACAACACTCCCATTGTTCACTTTCCGGAGTTCCCAACAAAAACAAAACTACGATCTTTGCACACGAAAAAGCCATCATTGCCAACACAGCCAAAGAATTTTTCCTCAAAAGCTGAACAAGAGTACAAGTACGGTCCTGCACACACACAGCAAAATCAGCCAGACGTGAAAACCGTTTTGTGACCAGTACGTATGAATTTCCCAATGAATGTGTTCTAAATACAAAGAATATTATCATGTGTAAGAACAACGTTAAAAAAATGAATATCTTTTCGATATGTCTGTGTTTTCGTTTGTGGCTGGTAGACTTCATTCACCGATTCGAGATCAACCCTGACCCCAGTGGTCTGGAGGGGGCAGACGAACTCAGTCCAATAAAAATAGTTCAAAACATTAGCGAGGGTGGTTGGTGGGTCCTCTGGTGTGGTTTGCCCCTTCTTTCCTATCAAACATCTATCATCTTTATCTCCCCTCCTTCTTTTTTGTGTTTGTCACTCTCCTGTAACACCTCTAATCTTCGGCACTTATATGACCTTATTGTGTTGCAAGTGCCATAAAACCGTTAACGATAAAAATACATATTTTAAAAATATTTGCAAGTAAAAGCTACCAGAAGGGAGATCTTTAAAGAATATCCTTCAAAAAGACAAATCAACTATTACAACAACAACAAATGTTTAAGTCAAGGCTAATGCATTAAGGCAACCGTCAAAGGCATGGAGACGTTTGAAATGATTTATTCCTACGTCAACTCACTTGAACCTGTTCCCGTGGCATTTACAGGACACCCCGCTGGCACAGTGGCCTAATCCTGTGTATTTACGAGATGCGCTTTATCAGTCGATATCTCAAGTGTTTTTCGGCTACAAGCTACGGGAAGCGGCGAGCCAATAGTTGACCCACTTATTTCGTTTCTTAAAAAATTTGGTGACGTTATGTGTGATACTTTTTGAGCTGTAACGCTTTTTGCGGCTCTACGTCAAACACCCCCGCATTGCGACGGATGACTTTATTATAAATTGGGTGCACGCAAAAAAAAATTGCATAACCCCCAGATATTGCCATTTCAAAATACTGATAAAATAAAAACTGTTCCGACATATTAGATGCAGTTTTCTTTTTCTGCGAGATCATTTTTTTTTTTTTTTAAAATTATGATAGCTTTCACAGTTTCTTTTGAGGTCGACGATTCAATGTACCCTAAAAAACTGTCAAGCCACAATGGTTGTTGGCTGAAAAATAGTTAGTTTTAGTAGAGGTTTTACGGCGCTCCCAACTGCATAAGGTCATATGAGCGCCAGAAGACTAGAGGTGTTACAAGAGAGTAACAAACATAAAAAGGAAGGAGGGGAGATAAAGACGATAGATGTTTGATAGGAAAGAAGAAGCAAACCACACCAGAGCACCCGCCAACCACCCATGTGAAAAATAGCTTAGGCTCAAGTGAGTTAATATAAGATAGAATGTAAGACAATATTCTCAGGGGAAAAAAAAAAAAAATTTTTAA